TAATCCGGCTATTATGAAGCTTGTATTCATAGTCATTTGCTCGTATTTTGCGTGTATGCAATGGTCAAACGCAACTAAAAAACAATCTTCATTAGGTTTCTAATGAGGTCAATGTTTGTAACCTCCTCGCGCATCTTTTCAGAAGCAATGACAGCTACACCAACATGAACTTGTTAAGGAATTCTTCTAAGCGCAACTGCTCTTTATAACCACGACATAATGCCTTTTTACTCAGACGGTGTCTGTAACTGTGGGCTGTTGGCTGCTTCTCACGAACCGAAAAATCAAATATCTACAAAGCGATCTTCCTTCTGGTGTCGGTGCTACTTTTCATTGGAATTGGAGAATCGAAAGGGATAAAAAATCGTAAAGGAATCGTCTGGACTTTTTTTGCAACTTTGTCGTGTTTTCAAGGTGACCTCGAAAACACCGGCATCGTAATTGTCCTCGTCAGTGCACTATGCTACAATTTGCCAAAAAAGACAAATGAATTCCATCCCTTGGCCAACTTGTTAGTAAGAGGTTGTGGTATCTCTCCTCTTCTCCCCGTGCATTCAACTATCCCATTATCTCGTTTTTCACTCCCTCAGTATTTCTACTTTCAGCTTTGTTGTCCTGAGCTATTACATGGTTGACCCTTCGAAGTGGATTTATTGACGACTAATAATGTTTGAGAATGCATGGTCGTATTAAATAATACATTATATGGCATATTAGAAATAAATAACAAATAAACCAAATAAATAGCTAAGGGAAACTATTACGACATAGGACGGCAGGAAAGCCATGTTCTTCGAGGATACCATGACAGCCCGATCAAGTTGCGAAGACGAGGTCAGATAATGTCTAATCACTAAAAGGGTAATGTGGCAAAAATAAAGGCTGAACCATCTTGGTCTTCTATTCTAAGCCTCTAGCTCCATCTGGCAGCGCCAGCACTAACACAATTACCCTCATTGTTGCCATGGTTAGTATTGAAGAAAAACTGGGTCTCCAGGGCTGCCTTAGTGGCATGACATTCCATTTCGAAGGAAAAGTTGCTTGGAAGAAATTCGTGAAATGGTCTCACCGAAAATCGAAAGAGGATTTTCGCGGAGTGAAGATTATTGGATTGTGCGAAAAGTCATCGGCTCACCGTTTTGCGAACCTGATGAATCTGTGCTAGGCTTTTGTCGGTACTGCTGTAATAGACATCAGCAGAGCAGGAATCCATACTTTGTGAAATAGCCCAAAGATATACTAAACCAAGAGGAAAGGTGGTATATAACATTTTTAGACCATTTAGTAAACTAGATATTTGTGTTTTTTATAAGTAGGATTTGGCAACTACCAGCAAATCGGTTATATGAGGTGTATTCCTCCTATTTCGTTTGAGGTGATAAAGAGCTGGAAATTGAATTTTTCCCACAAGTATATGAGTAGAGCTGACGCTCCAATTGAATTTCACATTCCACTTTCAGTCCTTAAATCATATTAAACAAGGGTATTCGTGACAGTGTCGCGTAGTGGTTAACATGTCTAGACTATACGCTGCACCACCAGAATCCGGGTTCGAAAGCCGCTGCGAGGAGGGTGAGATCAAGGCGAGGTTGAAACCGCACTCGTCGCGATGAGAACACCTTTTGGGAGGTAAGGCAGCGTGAAATGCAACTGAAACATGGGGCCTATTCATATGATTGTGGGAAAATTCAGCTACCAATTCTCTGTCACCTTATAAGAAATAAGGTAAAGACGAAATGAGTAATGTAGTCGATTGTTATTGCAAATATAACTTTGCTTTATGGACAATCCCACCAAAGAATGTAATATTGTGATATGCATGGCCTTCCTTGAAGTTCACATATGCCCTGTGACCCAATGGCATTCGCGGAAATTTGGCATATTGCTAAACTAGTCGAGACTACACGCTCCGTCATGGTTCGAGTCCTGCTGAGGCCTTTTATAAGTCCTAGGCAAGGTAGAAACTATGGCCCACCCCAGATGAGAGTGACTTTGGGGAAAGCAAGGCTATGTAAAATTGAATGAAAGCGCCAGCCATACTCATATAAATGTAGGAAAAATTCAACTACCATTCTTTCATCAACTCAAACAAAATGGGGTGAATACATCTCATACGTATTCTTGTTCTGATGATGTCTGTCATGGTACAGACGAGAGATGAGTGCATGCTTGTCGTAGTTGCAGGACGTTAAGCCGATGAATTCATCTTACAATCCAAATGTTTTCACTTCGCAACAATCTTCCTTCGAAGATATGAGGACCAAGATGGTGTGGCCTCCGGTATGGTAGCAGTCTCCTTTCGATTTACAGAAGTGGGTTAACCTCGTTGTCGCAACTTGGTATTGTTTTCCAGGAGACTAAGTAGAACGAACCTAGTCCGAAGTCCTCTGCCATAGTAGTTATCATAATTCCTAAAATCAGACGGTGAACTTGGTAAATTTTCATACTCTGATGATGTCGACTACTATCTCGGCGAAACGTTTGGGAATGTATCAAGTCCACTGTCTGATGCTGGGAATTATGATATCTATTATGGCAGAGGAATTCGGGCCAGGTGCGTTCTACTAAGTCGCCCTGACAACAACAAGACCACGTTGTCACAACGTGGTTAACCCACTTCTATAAAACTTCCTTCGGTTTAATATTAGATTTTTCTACGAATTCCTTTCATTAACTTTTTATTCTAAATGGAAAGTCATATCACAATGTATTGCTAGTATTGTCACTGAAATGGCGATAAGAATTGACCCTAAACACTTTTTCGCAAATTGATCATGGTCTTGGCATATTCAATTACGTAAGTGACTACTGTCGTGATGACTTATTCGGGCATCGCTCCGTGAGCATCATTGGTGATCTGTAATTCGTCGCAGAGAACTGAAATCGCTTGTCTATCCTCTTAATGACATCTTCGAGTGCAGTATACTTTTTCAACCCAGTAGGATTACTTTCTATTTTTTAACAAGCATGACTTTCGAGACTACCAGTAGATCGTGAATATTTCTTTTAAGATATAAAGGACTGATAGTTGAGGTTGAAACTGCAGTTCAGTCCTGTCTGGAGGAAGATACCTTTGGGGAAGCAAGGCTGTGTGAAATTGAATAGAAAAGCATTACCGACTCATATAATTGTGGGAGAATTCAACTCGCACTCCTTCATAATCCTTAAACGAAATAGGGTCAAGCCACTTCTTATTCCAGTAGGATTAGCATTGGATTGTCTCGATGAAGACGGAAAATCTTATCATAATTGGCTTAAGTGGTTTTATGAGAGAACAGGCCCGGTCGAATCATGTGGTCCAGGACAATAGAGACAGGATTTCCATCGGGGAACGTGTGGATCATAAACTAGAAGTGATGAAAGAGTAGGACACAACTTTAAGGGATGACTAATTTACAAGAACGGATAGAGGAGGCATGCCGCAATTCCTCTGGCCAGGACACGGACTTCACTTGTTTCTTTGACGAGTTGTAGCCCGTTCGAAGGCTGGACAAGTTGATAGATCATGCCAGAAGTTGGCCAATGGATGGTTAGCTGCAGGAAGAATACATTGTTCTAGTGGCAGGGACGCAATTTGGGGAGCATTATTCACTTACGACTTTCAACTAGACCAAGTTTAGAAAATGAGTTCGTTGAGT